ACACAGCCTCCACCCCTCGGCAGAGACCGGCAGAGATCGGCAGAGACCAATATAGATATATATATATGATTTATTTTTGTTACAAAACACACAATTAACTTAGAATATGTGATTATTGTTAATTTTATTTATTTATTTTTTTAAATAAAAATTAAAAACACTGGGGAAACTGGGAGGGCGGCGCCCTATCGCCCTCTACTGGCCAGCCGCCACTGCTTTTCAGGTCCCTGCTTCTGATGCTGCTAACCCAACAGACGATGGCTGAAGAGATTACACTCTCAACAACAGACTTGTAGAAGATCTGCAGCATCTTGCTACAGACATTGAAGGACCTAAGCGTCCTCAAGAAGTGCAGTCTGCTGTGTCCCTTCTTGTAAACGGCTTCGCTGTTCCTTCTCCAGTCCAGTCTGTTGTCCAGGTGAACTCCAAGGTGTTTGTATTCCTCAACCACCTCCACTTCTTCTCCCATGATGGAAACAGTGTTTGACTCCACCCTGCTTCTTCTGAAGTCTAAAATCATCTCCTTTTTTTTGTTCACATTCAAGGTCAGATGATTGTTTCCACACCATGCCACAAAGCGCTCCACCAGCTCTCTGTACTCAGCTTCCTGTCCATCTCTGATACACCCGACAACTGCAGAGTCATCTGAATATTTCTGTCTCTTGGCAAATAATATGGGCGACAACTTACTGCCAAGAGTTCAACACCTGGGCTGCAGAGACGACATTTCGCTGAAACATGACCTGGATGGCACCATCTGTTGTTGACAAGCACTGCCACTCCACCTCCTTTTCTTTTCCCGCTCCTCTTCAGATCTCTGTCTGCTCATACAGTCAGGAATCCTGGCAGAGAGACGCTGGAATCGGGGATATGGTCCTGCAGCCACGTCTCAGTGAAGCACATAACACTGCACTGCCGATACTCTGGCTGAGTCCTTGAAAGGGCTTGGAGTTCATCCATCTTGTTGGCCAGTGATCTCACATTGCCCATTATGATCGATGGAAGAGATGGTTTGGGCGTTTTAGCTCATTTGGGATTTGTGGCTTCAGTTGAGGTATTATTTCAGCCTTCCCAATGTTAATCAGCTGCTCTCGATTGTAAACCAGCTTGTTATGGTTACACATCATAACAAATGCTCAAAAAGTGAAAAAATAGCAGTAAAAATCCTCAAAGCTTCACAGCACCAGAAACAGAAAAGTAAAATGTCCAAAAAAAAAAAAAACTAAAGTATTTCTTGAGAAACTAGAAGAAAAAAAGTCCAAGAAAAGGCAAAACTTACATAAAGTCAACAGAGCTACTCCAACATGCAACCACCCAGAGCAGCGCAGTTCCGGAAAAAAAAATAAAAAAATTCTACTGATTCAAAAGTGCTTTGAGTTCAGCTCATTTTTCCAGTCATTTAAAGGTTTTCTACCTAAGGAAACGCAGCAGATTGCATGGAGTCACCCACTTTTTGTGTCAGAGGCTTTCCAGCAATCCCCACACTAAGCAAGCATGTTTCTATGTTAAAGAAAGCTGCATCAGTTACTCACTCACTCACACCCAGAGACATGTTAGGGTCACTAGTTAACCCTACGTGTGTGTGGGGGGAACCGGAGCGCCCGGAGTAAACCCACGCATTCATGATGGGGAACTAATTCTCCATCAGGAAGCCCCTTTTTTTTCTGCTGTGCTTGTGTGCTCTAAAGGGGTGTTGCATCTAAGATTAGATATTCACTCACTCACACACTCACTCACTCACTCACACACTCACTCACTCACTCACTCACTCACACAAAAATGCCTAAATTTAGAGAAGGCTAATGCTAATTTTCGTGAGGTCACAGCTGGGGTTTAAACTGGTGACGTCATCATGAAGCCCGAGTGTTTTGGGGGTCAGATGCTAATTTAAGGCCTAACTTTATGTTTCCGTAGACACGCCGGAGTGAGAAACTTCTTGAAGCGCCTCCACAATGAAACATTCTGGTTCCTGACTGTTTGTGGAACGCTGTCTTTGGGAGAAGGCTCGTTTTCATGAAGACTTCCGCTTGCTTCCACTGAATCTATCTGTTCTGCAGGTGGAGAGCAAACATCATGTCCCATCTCGTAATCCTCGTCAGGCTCCAGACTCTCAGAAGTTTGTTCCTGAGGTTCACACAGAGAAGCTTCCTCTACCAGCTGGTACGTGAAGGCTTCCAGCTCCTCAGACAGCTTCTTGTCTGGCTCAGGCGTGTTCTTCCGGGAGTTAAAGGTCTCCAGTTGTTCTGAGAGATCATGGTTGATTATCTCCAGATCTCTAATTTGTGTCTCTAAGTCCTCGTTGAACGAGTCCTTGTTCTGAATCTCCTGTCCCAGCCGGAGTTTCAGCTCTGACTCCTGTTTTAAACGCTGTTGCTGGTCTTCAATCAGATGTTCTCGTTCCTCCAGCTGAGTTTTGAGAGTCTGAATTGTAATTTTGAAGGTCTCTGCATTACTCTGGTAGTAATCCAGTCCCTCTTCTAGTTCACTCATTTCTACCTTTAATTTCTCATAAACGTTGTCTTTGTTCCGCTGGATTTTCTGCTGCTGATCAAACTTGGATCTCAGCAGCTCAGATTCCCGTCTGAGTCGCTTTTGGAGGTTTTCCAGCAGATCATCTTTCTCCTTCAGCTGTAAGTTTACCTCCTGCATCATTTTGTTGCAGGACTCTGCCTCACCTCGGTAATAATCCAGTTTCTGTTTGAGTTCATCAATCAGAGTTCTGGATTTTTTGCACTCGCTCTCTAGCTTTGAGCTTATTTCAGCTTGGTCACTGAGACTTGTGTCCAGGCGAGACAGCCGTAGGTGTTCCGAGCCGACTGTCTGGAAAAGGGAATCGAAAGTCGGATGCCGACATCCAGACGACTCCTGCTGGACTGGCTCAGCTAATCTGAGACTGGGTCCCAGCTGAGTTTCGTCCTCTGAACTGGGTTCACATTCCCCACAGAGAGAAGCCTTTTCTCCGTCCTCCTCAGAAAGCGTCTCCTCTGCCTCGTTCGTCTCAGAGAAGATACTTTTCATCTCGTCTACCAGAACACCGTTTATAATCTCTAAATCTCTGATTTGTTCATGTAAAGCCTCGGTGAGCGAGTCTTTATTCTGTTTCTCCTCTTCCAGCTGCAGTCTCAGCTCTGACTCCAGTCCTAACTGGTTTTGCAAACTTTCAGAAACATTTAGTTTTTCCTCCAACTTAATTTTCAAAGCCTGAATTGTAGTTTTGCAGGTCTCAGCGTTAAGCTGGTAGTAATCCAGACGCTCTTTCAGTTCACTAATTTCTTCTCTTAGTTTCTGATCAACTTCGTTCCTAATCTGGTCGTTTATCTTCCCCTGTTCAAATCTACGTCTCAGCTGGGATTCCTGCTTTAAAAGATTTTGCAGATTTTCACACACAGTTGCTTTCTTCTTCAGTTTGGTCTCTAAAGCCTGCAGGGTGACCTTGCAGGTCTCTGGGTTGTCTTGATAAACGTCCAGTTCTTGTTCCAGGACGGTAATTATGTCGTTGTATTTTTCCAATTCAGTCTCTGCTTGTAACGTTTGCTGCTTTTCATCACTTAACCATTTCTCCGTGATTAAAAGCTGAGACTGGACTTTCTCCAAGAGCGCCATATGGGAAAAATAAATTTTGGGGTGTTTACACCCAGATAATTCCCGCTGAAGCTCCTCAGATGAAAAATGTAGAATAGACATGATTCTAGAGGCTCTTGGTCTTTTATCAAACTCAGAAAAAAGGTTTGAGGTTGTAAAAGACGATTGTCTCAGAGAGTCGATGTGTCGCACACCAGCAGTCGGCTGCTAATGAAGTGGGAGCCGGCTGATGCTAGATAATAGGACTCTGAGCCTTTATGACGTCACTTCAAAGGATCACGTGGGCGGGGTGAAAGAAGTAGTAGTAGGAGGCACTGGTGGTCATAGTAACCCAAATGGGCGGAGCCTAACTTTAATGCATTTATCTCAGTCTGGACCATCGACGCTCCAGTCTTAACATTAACAGCAGCACCTGAACGCCCCTTTCTTTAACTTTATATGTAATAAAAATGAACTTTAACCTGAACCAACGTATTTCTTTCAGAAAATGTGAAAAATGTCTTTTTTTTCTAAATGTTGGCTTATAAGTCCTTTTGTCCCACATTTTGAATTTTTTGTCATATTTTATTATTTATCTCAATTATAACATATTACAATAACACAACACCAATGTTTAAAATGCATCATTTTGGAGCAGCAGAGCTGTTTTTGTCAAAAACAACGTAAATGAGAAACGGGGGGGGGGGGGGGGGGGGGCTGTCACGTTGAAGAAAATGTCGAGCAGAGCTAGAATTACGAAGCCCTCAACGTCCACGCCCAGGGCTGTGGATCTGTTTGAACTCTTGGGGCATTCTTGAGCAGAGAGGAGGAACAGCGCTGATCTTTGATGCGCTCCAGGCAACTGCGTCCTGCGCACGGCACATTGTCAAAGTGGCGCAACCCAAAAAATCGAATTAACCCACGGGGGCAAGGCTCTACAGCAGAGCCCCCCTGTAGATTCCCCCGTTTCTGACCTTTTGTGGGACTTGAGCGAGAGCAGAGGCGATCATGTTTGCCTTGTATGGTCAGATTCTTGAGAATATCCCAAAGAAAAGACCACGATGCCATCATCTCCAGAGCTTTGGACAAACTTTTCGAAATACTGCAGGAACAGAGATTTTTAATTCTTTAAAGCAGAAAATTGTATTTTTTTAAATCAAAATCTGCTTTTTTATTCAATAAAACAGCTAATAAGATGTCTGTTTTGTAGATCTTTTTTTTTCAGATCTTATTCTTTACATTAGGATTTAACCCTCTGGAAGTAGGCGTTGCTGATGTGCAACGTTAAAACCTACCTACCTGGATACTCCACGTACGTATTTCATGAGCATTTTTACACTCAGAAGAAGGATTTAGTTGTTTGCCCTTTTATCAAAACTTGTTTTGAGCCTGAGAGGGTTAGCTATGATTTTTTTGGTGTACAGTTATGGAAAGAGCACCTTTGGTAATGGTTTAGCAGGTTTGCAGTGAATCCCTCCAACAAATTTGAAGTTGGGAAGTAATGGACGGGGAAAGTCAAAATCCCAGCAGGTTCTCAACAACCAGATGTCAGCATTACCCATCATCTTACAGGCACTGGTGGGTGTTCCTGAGAAAACAAACATGTTCGTGATGACTGGATGAAATCCATTACGTAATGTTCTAGTCAGCAATACTCACCTTCTTCCACACACACTGATCCAGAACTAAGTCCTGCAGGACGTAGAAGAGGAAGTTCCACGTTCTCACTGAGAAGTTCATCTTGTCTGTCAGTCTGCTGACCGCACCTGGAACGTAGGAAGGTGGAGCAGGTGGCTGACCACACAGTCTCTCCCAGTTGTTTGCTATCGAAAATCTCAAAGAAAAGACTAGAGGGATGCCCAAGATCTCAGCAGTTAAATTGCTTCTAGAATAGATGGGATCAGCCAGGAGAACGTCATAGTTTCCCTTCCTCAGCTTCTTCACGGTGGGCTCTGATTTCACCACCGTCCAAAAACTGGAGGGAAATCTCAGTGTTGATCTTGAACAATTCCATGTATTTGATGTAAAGCTGAAAGTAGTTCATGTGGTCCATGTCATACATGTTGAATTGAATGAATTCAGCCAATAAATTCTCAAAATCTTCTTTAGAGACGGAGACATCAAAAGGCTGGTAATTAAAGCGGGAGGGTTCACTGCTGTGGATGAACATGGATGTGCTCGGGACCAGGACGGTCACCTGGTGTCCTCTGTCCACCAGCGTCTCCAGCAGCAGCTTCCTGTTAATCCAGTGGCTGGCCTCGGTGTACCAAACCAAAATCTTCCCTCCATCTACTCCAGATGTTACAGGAAGTAGCAGCAGGATGCAGGCAGAGATGCACGCGCAGCTCCATGGTGGACGTCTGTCTGTGGGAAATCCAGCTGTGAACTTTATACTGGATGTGCCGTACGGATACTTATTAACTGTGAACTCTGACTCGTTTCAGTACTAAAGTACAAAACATCAAAGCTGTTTAAAAGCTCAAATGTTTGAACTCAGAGTGCATATCCTTTTGATTTTCTTTCACTTATTTGTGTTTCTATCCCTGCAGGTTTATGGGAAATAAAACCTAGAACTAAATGTGTTGTACTTGTTCAGGCTTATTTCTGGATAGCAGTGTTTCATACTCTGTACTGTTTGAATTCTGCAATGATTCCCAAACGTCACGTTTAACTTTAACTCTCTTTTTAGGACTTTCTGCAGTTTTCTTATTTTTTTTAAATGTAGAAATAAAATATTAGATTTGTTGGTATTTATTTTGGTGAAACAGTAATTTGTGGTTGTGAGATCTCTGTTACACAATAATCAACAAGCTGAGATAAAACTTTATTGTTCATTTATGGTAAATAGTCTGTATTTGGTAGCGCCATCTAGAGTCCTGGAACCCCCCAAGGCGCTTTACAACACATTCACCCATTCATACCCTGGTGGTGATGAGCTACACTGTAGCCACAGCTGCCCTGGGGCGTCCTGACAGAGGCGAGTCTGCCATACGCAGGCGACGCCGGTCCCTCCGAACAACATTTAAATGAAACATTGTCCTGCTGTAGCCGCAGTCATGAACATTACTAATAAAACCATAAATAAATCCACTAATATCACTTCTCAGGTGCAGCATGACATTTGACCCCAAATTCCCTCCACACACCGACCTGAAAACCCTTCACAAGTGCAGGTCATTTATAACTAGTCATTTGGACAGCAGTCGCTCCCGGGGGAGAGCGGGTCATTCAGTAATCAGAAGGTTGCGGGTTTAATCCCGGCTGTTTGATATTTTTTCTAAACATTTTGACAGAAGTTACTGAAACTTGAGCAAAAACTAAATGGTCAGAATTTAACAAAAAATTGTGAAGTACAAACCATTTATTCAGAAGTGAAAACATTGGACACTGATGTTTTTCCTTTTCCTTTTTTGTAATAATAAAAACCCAAAACCCTATTTGATCACACAGAAGATAAAAAATACATCAAAACACTTTTGTTTTTGCCTTTTTTTAAACAGTTTCTTACTTCCCTATTTTTACACAAGAGGTCGGTGGTTAAAAGACCGATTAAAATCTATATTAAATCAGCCTTTCTATTCAATATTTTACTTTAATAAACCTGAGCTGAGTTTGTTATTCAGCCTTCCTCTTGGTCTTCCTTCTGCAGCAGCACCTCCGGAAACAGAACCTGCAGGTCTTGTCGTGGAGGAACAGGAGCAGCAGAACCACAGAGAGCAGGAAGCTCAGGACATCCAGGCTGTGATACTGCTACCAGGTGAGCTCGTGGGCCTGGACCCTCAGGTGCTTTGCTCCTTTGTGCCTCATGGTGAACTCGATCCAGAAAACCGCCTCGTCCAGAGGACTCATGGGTCTGTCGTGGTGGATTCTGGACAGTCTCATGGCACTTTCTTTGTAGCTGTGGATAAACAAGTTAAAATAAAGAGTTATTCATAATGTATTGTCAGAGATTAACTTTTATCTCACAAACTGGGAATAATGAAAGGCACATTTGTAGTTTTGTACATTTAAGCTAGGTTACTCTTTCGGGCCATACAGTAAAAATTTACCACGAAAACAGGAAATTGAAGGGAAATATTTATTCTGGTAATAAAGTTAATGCTGACTCATCACCAAAAACGAAACAATTTTTTTTTTAATCTTTAAAACAGACTTGGTGCAGGAATTTAAAAAATCTGACGTTGTGTCATCGATGACGGTGTTGATCGCATCTCTGAGGTCTTCAGATGTCAGTGAGTTTAATTCCACAACAACTGCAGCTCCTTTGGCTTTCATGTGCAGCATGTTGTCTGGCTGGTCAGCAAAAACTGGAATTCCCACCATGGGAACGCCGTGATAGATGGTCTCATAAACCCCGTTTGCACCTCCATGAGTGATAAAAGCTCTAGTTTTAGGGTGACCTGATGACGGGAGAAAAAGTTTACCGTATTTTCTGGACTATAAGCCGCTACGTTTTTCCCCACGCTTTGAACCATGTGGCTTATAATGAGGTGTGGCTTTACTGAAGGTTTTCTTCACCTGCCACCAGGGGGCGCTTTAGCAGGAAGTGAAACAGGTGGAAGTCAAAAGTGGAAATCGAAGAAAGTGCTCATTTTAGTTTAGCACATGCAAGCAGCCGGCACGACGAAGAATCTTTTTCAAATCCATACCCCCTCATCATGGTAACTACACGTATGAGTTCATATGATGCCGCATTTAAGTTGAAGGCCATCGATCTGGCAGTAAAGGAGAGAAACAGTGCTGCCGCACGTAAGCTTGGCATGAATGAATCCATGGTTCGGCGCTGGAGACGGCAGCGGGAAGAACTCATTCAAGCCATCTTTACCCGGGGATGATGACAGCAACACGGACAGCGACACCGACATCGCCACAGAAATATGTGATGAAGCTCTTCTGAGGCTGTTCAACTCCGACACTGAAGAAGAGGACTTTAATGGTTTCAGTGCACAAGAGGAAGATGAATAAACTAATCGATAACTTTTCTGTTTTGTTTCATACTGATCGGTTCAGTTACGTTCAGTTAAACTACGTTTTCAATTCAGTAGAGATCAGCGGCTTTTAGCCCGGTGGGGCTTATATTGAGGTGCGCTCTATAGTCCGGAAATTACGGTAATTAACTTTAGAGAAGAAGATAAAGTATTTTATTTAAGACCTTTATTTGAATAAATACACACTCACCTAAAGGATTATTAGGAACACCACACTAATACGGTGTTTGACCCACTTTCACCTTCAGAACTGCCTTAATTCATTGATCCAACAAGGTGCTGAAAGCATTCTTTAGAAATGTCGGCCATATTGACAGGATAGCATCTTCCAGTTGGGAGTTGTGTGGGACGCACATCCAGGGCACGAAGCTCCCGTTCCACCACATCCCAAAGATGCTCTATCGGGTTGAGATCTGGTAACTGTGGAGGCCGTTGTAGTACAGTGAACTCATCGTCATGTTCAAGAAACCAGTTAGAAATGATTGGAGCTTCATGACATGGTGCATTATCCTGCTGGAAGTAGCCATCAGAGGATGGGTACATGGTGGTCATGAAGGGATAGACATGGTCAGAAACAATGCTCAGGTGCCCAGTTGGCACTAAGGGGCCTAAAGTGTGTCAAGTAAACGTCCCCCACACCATGACACCACCACCACCAGCCTGCACAGTGGTAACAAGGCACGATGGATCCATGTTTTCATTCTGTTTATGCCAAATTCTGACTCCACCATTTGAATGTCTCAAATGAAATCGAGACTCCTCAGACCAGGCAACATTTTTCCAGTCTTCAACTGTCCAGTTTTGGTGAGCTGGTGCAAACTGTGGCCTCTTTTTCCTAATTGTAGTGGAGATGAGTGGTACCCGGTGGGGTCTTCTGCTGTTGTAGCCCAACCACCTCAAGGTTGTGCATGTTGTGGCTTCACAGATGCTTTGCTGCATTCCTCGGTGGTAACGAGGGTTAGGCTCTTCTATCAGCTTGAATCAGTCGGCGCATTCTCCTCTGACCTCTAGCATCAACAAGGCATTTTCGCCCACAGGACTGCCGCATACTGGATGTTTTTCCCTTTTCATACCATTCTTTGTAAATCCTAGAAATGGTTGTGGGTGAAAATCCCAGTAAGTGAGCAGATTGTGAAATACTCAGACCGGCCCGCCTGGCACCAACAACCACGCCACGCTCAAAATAGCTTAAATCACCCATGCTTTCGTTCTTTTTAAACACAGAAACAGTTTTGTTTACCTGTTTTGTAGCTACAGTTTCGCCGACGGCTGCCGGCTTCTTCAGGCTGACGCTGATGGTGGCGCGTCACTTCCTTCTCCGTTTATCTGCGGGCAGCAGAGGACGTTGTCGCCCTCTACTGCCCGCTCTCCCCTCTCCGACGATGCAGTCCCATGCGTGGTCCAGCGTGTAAACTCCGTCGTCCCTGTTCATGGTCCCACATCCACGTCTCCTTATCTCTATTGCTGTGATAGAGTGGGAACTCTGGAAGTTATTTGCTGATCTGACAGTATCTTCAAGATAAGGGCTCCGGTCAGAGAGCAGGGCACGGAGAGACAGTTTTACGTATTTAATGACAGTTGAAGTATGGACATCTGTACATTTCTGTGGTTCCGTGTGGTATGTCAGTCATGAACGCACACGAGGCTGTCTGCCATCACCAACAGCTTGGACAAAATGGTAGAAACGGCTTTACAGGAAGTGACTATCTAGAGGAAGTGATGTCACAAACTGGACCACCAAAATAAGAGTGGGGTAACTTTACACATGGATCTTCTAGAACTGCCATAACTATAGCCATAACTATAAGCCTTTCTGACAAAGCCGCCCCCGAATTTAGTTATAAATTCGAAAACTAGAGGAAAGTCTTATCAGGTGTTTAGCCAGAGTCATCTTCATCTTCCCAAGCTGGCAGTCGCACCAGGCGCACAACTGGTCGAAGATAAGTCTGTCCCTTTATCCTCACTTCAGCTGCCCTGACTCGACCGTCTGAGCCTGGACATGTCTTGACAATCCTCTAAAGTTTGGAAGCTGGTCTGTAGTTCAGTCCCTCTACCTCGGAAATTGGTCCCTCTGTCTGCTAGGATTTCAAAGGGTTTGCCACGGCGAACGATGAAGCGACGTAATCCCATAAGAAAAGCATCAGTGTCGATGCTCTCCAGCAGGTCGAGGTGCACACAACTCATTGTCGTGCATTTAAAGATGATCCCCCATCGCTTCTCCATGCGTCGACCCACCTTGATATTGTAAGGGCTGAAGCAGTCCACTCCAGTAGACCAGAAAGGTGGCTTGTATAGACGAAGTCTTGCTGGGGGGAGGTCTGCCATTTGTGGGACTACAGGACTAGCACGCCACTTTTGACATTCCACACAGCTGTACTGATGCCGTTTGATAGATTCTCTTCCACGTAGGATCCAGTATCTTCTCCGAATTTCAGCGAATACACGCTCGGGGCCCGGATGCAGGAGCTGTTTGTCATATTTCTTGATGAGGAGCCTGGTAACATGATGTTTCGGGTAAAGGATAATTGGATGCATGGTATCTAGATCCAGATCTGCTCTTCGCAGCCTGCCTCCCACTCTTATCAGCCCGACAGCTATATCATACTCAGGAGCAAGCATGATTAGGCGGCTTTGTTTGGAGATGGGCTTCCCCACGGCAAGGAGTTTCACCTCTTCCTGAAAGGTCTCACTTTGGGATTGTCGTAGGAGATGTAGTTCAGCTTCTTGTACATCTGCAGCTGTCATGGTGGGGCTCACCAGGTCTTTGGCCGCCCCGTGAAGGCTCATATGAGTGGCTCTAACGAGGTCATCCCAGTTGTCGATGTTAGTAACATCCACTTCATGAGAAGGACAGGTAGCTGCTGCACAAAACACTGTCTTGCGTAGCTCATCCTCATCTTCTTCCTGAGCTACTTCCATTTGTAGCTCTGGCCAGGTTTCAGTAGGCTGGTGAAGAAATTGTGGACCCTGACTCCACGGGTTGGGCTGACTGAGCTCATGGAGTGTCTTCCCGCAGGTAAGGTAATCTGCTGGATTATCAGAGGTGCTGACATACCGCCAAGTTGACCCTTCGGTAAGTTCTTGAATTTCAGCGACCCTCGTTCCAACTAAAACCTTGTATCGACTTGAGTCTGATTTCAGCCATGTCAACACTGTAGCTGAGTCGGTCCAGAGTGTTATCTGCTGGGGAGAGAATGACAACTCTGTCATTGTGACCTTAGCCAGCTGAGCTCCGGCTAG